ACCTCATTGACGGACATAAAGCCACTTTATAAACGCTGGATTATAGAGCTATAGGTTTGTTATATCAATGTCTCAAAATAGCGTAAAAAACGCTAATTTCAGCATATTGTTTTAAAAAATTTTCCCATAACCCCCAGGCCCCCCAGTGGGCCACCCCCAGCGACCCCTGTTTTAAGTACACTCTTGCCCTCCCCCCTATAGTTGTGATCCTGGGTACGCCCTTGGGTCAATGATAATATTGTGCTGGGATGGTGGCGTCAACCTGTAATCCAGCTACTAGGAGGTCACGAATTGTGGATATTTATAGGCATGTACTGTAGATGCAGAACTCCCTGGTGTGGATTAACGTCCGCACTAGTGAGTACTACAACTATCCGCAGTACTATCCTGATAATTAGACCAATTCGTTAATACCAAGGCAAAAATGTGGTTTGGATTCCACTATAAACTGTTGGTTGCCCTTAGTTGCCATTAGCTGTTTGGGCTATTAATTAACAGCTGTGTCTAAGGAAGATGTCGGCCTTAGTCACTAACAAGGCTACTAGATCGCGCCACTACACTCATCTCCGATTCATACTTGGCTTAAAATACCTACTTTGTATGGTTGCCATAAGCCTGACCTTAGGCCTACTACTGGACCGAATTACATGCGGTTGGTACCAAATGAAAGATATTTACCTGTAGATGTGCAGAGTCCCTTTATAAATTAAAATAGGCTCACAAATAAGCACGATAAATGAATTTAAAATTTTGAAAAAAGTTAAAATGGGTTGTCATGGTGATGACGAAATAAAAGCGAAATAAATAAACAGAATTTTAAAACAAACGGAAGACAATCCAACCCAAGTTTTATTTACAGCGAGTGGGGTGAAAATAGAGAAGTTTGCACAATACGTACAAAACTAGACATTTGGTCGAGTTTTTGACCACGGGGCGAGCTCTCGTAGTTCTATAAAATATTTCCCTGCAGTCACCCGACAAAGTTGGCTTCCTTGTACTGTTTATAGTACAGAAAGCTGCTAATTGCTGTATCTTTATACTTTGTCATAAGGTTTATACTTTGGCGCACATCAGGATTCCAACGAAACAACACAAAACAGCGTGGTTCTATTATGCACGTAATCCGTGTACGCTTGGAAATAGGTTGGCAACACTTAAAGATAATAGTTCTATGAGCAGCTGATTGACTATTATAACTACGATTTAACCTGTCATTTCGTGTTTATAGTTTTGGTATTTCTGAACTTTCTGGACTTTTCTTTTAAACGTTTTTAAAACATTCCTACGATCTTAATAAACAAGAAAATACCTTTAAAGCATTTTTTTATGCACGGAAACCACTTCAAATTACAAAAACATACGGAACTATATTCTCATGTCGCGGAGCACATTTCTGGCCGAGGAAAAATAACGGAGTAATACGGACCGGGTACTACTTCCTCTAGGGCACCTATTTGTGTTGCCAGCTGAAGAACCTAAAAACGTGTTGTATAGTGTTTGAAAGACTAATTATTTATATGCTTCATAGTGACTGCAGGAAAAATATAATGTGTAACACGAGTGCAAAAGGCCTTTGCTGCACTCGAGATCATTCCGCACAAGCCGCAGGCGAGTTAACCCATGTTAAATTTTTTCGAAATTTTAAATTCATTTATCGTGCATATTTGTGAGCCTATTTTTGAGCGGAGCGAGCGAAGCTCTTATACGTCGACTCTTATGCATTTCGTAATACGCAAACTCCTCCTAGACGGCTGAATCAATCGTTTTCAAATTTTGCATGGTGATAAAGACCTTATCGGTGAGTGCCAACATCTATATGGCGTTAAACAAGTCTCACAGGAATCCGCCCCACTGGGTCTCAAAGTTTCAATGTAATCCTTATGGAAGCAGTATTTGACACATAAACAAAGACATATGATCAGCTGTTGACTTTGGAATGCAGTAGATAAAGAAAAAGCTGATAGAATTATTACACATATATTAGAACAGAAACGGTATGGATCATAAATATAATCAAATGACGACACTAGCTTGAGGTCCGTGACGTAGGAAGTGGTGAAGGAAGTAGTAAAGGTGAGCAGTCTGGAATGTGGAAACAGTTTATGACGATTAGATTAAGGTATCTGCATTCCTAAATTTCTATGGGAAGGAAAGAAAACAGGTCCGCGACGTAGGAAGTGGTGAAGGAAGTAGTCAAGGCGAGCTGTCCGGAGTGTGGGAACTGTTTATGACGATTAGATTAAGGTATCTGCAATAATAAAATGCTATTGGAAGGGAAGGAAACAGGTCCACGACGTAGGAAGTGATGAAGGAAGTAGTAAACGCGAACTGTTCAGGGGATGGGATCTGTTTATGACCATTAGATAAGGGTATTTGCAAATCCTATGATGGTATGGGAAGGAAGGGAAACTGGTCCGTGTCGTAGAAAGTGGTGAAGGAAATTGTAAAGGCAAGCAGTCCGGACTGTGGGAACTGTTTGTGACGATTAGACTAAGGTATCTGCAATCCTAAAATGCTATGGGAAGGGAGGAAAACAGGTCCGCGACGTAGGAAGTGGTGAAGGAAGTAGTCAAGGCGAACTGACCGGAGTGTAGGAACTGTTTATGACGATTAGATTAAGGTATCTGCAATCCTAAAATGCTATGGGAAAGGAGGGAAACAGGTCCGCGACGTAGGAGTGGTGAAGGAAATATTAAAGGCGAGCTGTCTGGAGTGTGGAAATTGTTTATGACGATTAGAGTAAGGTATCTGCAATATTAAAATGCAAAGGAAAAGGAAAGAAACAGGTCCGCGATGTAGGAAGTGGTGAAGGAAGTAGTCAAGGCGAGCTGTCCGGAGTGTACGATCTGTTCAAGACGATTAGATTAAGGTATCTACAATCCTAAGATGCTATGGGAAGGGAGGAAAACAGGTCCGCGATATAGGAAGTGGTGAAGGAAGTAGTAAAGGCGAGCAGTCTGGAGTGTGGGATCTTTTTATGACGATTAGATTAAAGGATCTGCAATCCTAAAATGCTATGGGAAGAAAGGAAAATAGGTCCAAGACGTAGGAAGTGGTGAAGGAAGTAGTCAATGTGAGCATAGTGTGAGAACTGTCTGTGGCAGTTAGATTAATGTATCTTCAATCCTAAAATGCTATGAGAAGCGAAGGAAACAGGTCTATGACGTAGGAAATGGTGAATGGGAAGTAGTAAGGCTAACAGTGGAGAGTGTGGAACTGTCTTTGGCAATTACATTAATGTATTTGCAATCCTAAAATACTATGGGAACAGAGGAAAACAGGTCCACGACATAGGGGGTGGTGAAAGAAATAGTAAAGGTGAGCAGTGTTGAGTGTGGGAATGGATTAATGTATCTGCAATGCGAAAATGCTTTTGGAAGAGACTGTAGACTGTAGGTTAAAATGATTACGAAGCACGAATCGATACATATTTTCGATACATGCAATCATTTGAAATCGAAATTTACAACAAATTTACAACAGCTGATTTGTACTCCATAGAGGCTAAAAACTATTTTTACTCCCAAAAGAGTAAAAATGCTACTTTAGACCCGCAACGCATGCATTAAAAAAGACTGTTTTTACTGCAGTACGACAAAAACAATATTAAAATCCATGTTTTAGCCCCTGAGCTGTATAATAACTAAAAATAGGCTTTACCTTCGTCACTGCAGCTCAAATTCTTGTGGTGTAACTATGTTACGGCCGTTTCGGCATTATAATGCCATCGTCAGACTACAAAAACACAAACTCGGCTGAAGTAGCGTCGTTGAAGTTTAAACACGTAACACATACGAACAATACTATACATTTAAAATATTTACAAAAACCGAACAGGCCTGTCGTACTAACGGGAACATGTCACCCGTTAGTACGACAGGCCTGTTCGGTTTTTGTAAATATTTTAAATGTATAGTATTGTTCGTATGTGTTACGTGTTTAAAGTTCAACGACGCTACTTCAGCCGAGTTTGTGTTTTTGTAGTCTGACGATGGCATTATAATGCCGAAACGGCCGTAACATAGTTACACCACAAGAATTTGAGCTGCAGTGACGAAGGTAAAGCCTATTTTTAGTTTAAAAACAATATAATATGAACCCTTGATGGCTCCGCTCAATTTTGTGGATGCCTCTGCGAACGCCACCTAGTAATTTATAAAGACACTCTGCACATCTACAGGTAAATATCTTTCATTTGGTACCAACCGCATGTAATTCGGTCCAGTAGTAAGGTCAGGCTTATGGCAACCATACAAAATAGGTATTTTAAGCCAAGTATGAATGGAGATGAGTGTAGTGGCGCGATCTAGTAGCCTTGTTAGTGACTAAGGCCGACATATTCCTTAGACACAGCTGTTAATTAATAGCCCAAACAGCTAATGGCAACTAAGGGCAACCTACAGTTTATAGTGGAATCTGAACCACATTTTTTCCTTGGTATTAACGAATCCCATGTAGCAAGCAATGTATATAATACGTAAATATTCGGGATTAAGGTATAACCAACGTATATGTATTAATGATACAGATAATATACATATTATATACCAATATGAAAATACGGTTTCATCCAAAATAATTTTTGCATAAAATACTGTAAAATGAAGAAACAAAGTGTAAATTTTCACCTAAATGTTGTTTTGAGGGCATAAATTAACTTTCGAGAATGCAGTAAAATAAGTAAAGGTATTGATGATACAGATAATATATGTATTTTATATCAATAGAAAAATACGAAAAAAAAATGTAGTGTTGTATTTATTTCCCTGCATTTTTTCAAAATCCTGTGTAAAATGTATTTGTAACACATACTGTACTATAATATTCATAGATGATGAACAAAATATTCTACCGCGCGAGATACCCAAGTCTCTGAGTTTTCTTAGGTTCGACGATGTTCGCTGATGCATTATGGGAGCAAAACACCGGGGGTCAGCATCCGATCCGCCACCGCCATATTGTTTGTCTTAATGTCTTTGTCTCACAACTTAACAAACAACAAACGTTGTCCTTGTGGCTGTGTTTAGACTAGAGCATCTACTTCTGATTTTCAATATTTTCAGTGTTACACGTGAAGAATTCGTTGTTTTGTTATTATTTACTTATTAATTAGGTCTATTAGTTACTTTTTACTTTATATTCTTTAAGATTTGCGTTACATCTTCGACTTTTTAACTTCAGTGGCGATTCGACTAACTTGAGTTGGTAAGTTACACAAATTATTATCGTTATTGTAAGTTATTAAGAGATTTAGCATATGTTTTGTTAATAACTTGAATGGTGGTAATCTAATTTAAATACTTTATAGGCCCTAAGTGGAAATAGGTTACAAATTAAGTTAGCCTTCCTAACCCCTTAAATACTCTACGGATGGAGGCTCTTTAGGGAAAAATTAGTTGTATGTAGTTTACAAAACTAAGGAAGCCAAATTCAGGAGATAACCTAGACCTAATTCATTGCAATATGTCCTTGGTCTGAACTAATTTAGCTTGGAGACAAGCTAGGCCTAGGTCTACTTACCAAATACCGTAGCTAAACTTATGCCTAAGTTACTTAGAACCTGTCATAAGTTAGCCTAGGCCTAACTTACAGTTAAGACTAAAAATGATGTTAGGGCCTAATTGGTAAGTTTATGTTAAAATTCAGGCCTAGTCTTGTAGGCAGATGAATATTTTAAGACCAGAAGGGGGTAACTTAACTTACAGTTCCGAAGAGAACCTGTGATCTGTGAACAGATGGATGACTTAATGATAAATATCTTTGGTTAGTTAAATTAAATGTTTATTCTTCTTCCCAATGTAAACATCAAATTGACCTGTGATTTGTTTTGCCTACGTTTCTATCGATATTAACTAGCCTATAAGCATATTTAACCACAAACAAAATATAGGTAGCCTGAGACGGTAACTTACTTGCAAAATATAGCCTAACCTATTTAATGAAAAAGCAACAAAAGAAAACATAAAGTTAGCCTCTTAGGCCTATAACTTAATGGATAAGCTAACTGGGAAAATTAAAGTCAATGCAATATTAAAGTTAACTAACTTAGGCCTAAACTTAGGCCTAGGCCTATGTTAATATTTATAAAAATATTGATAAATCGTTATTGATCTGATAACTTAATAAGATCGCAGGTTCTCTGCGGAACTGTAACCCCAGAAGGCTGCAGCTTTATAATTAGGCCTAAAAAAAAATACGTCCTTCAAAACTATTGAAAGGACATGTCAAACAAATAACTTAAGGTGCCGCATTTGCGATCAGTAGGTTATGGTTAGGTTAGGTTTAGCTACCGGTATGTTTTTTTTTGTTTACGATTAACTTACATTAGGTCTAACTTATGAAACAACATCGCAGCTACCTACGTTTAGTAATAAACTTGAACGAAAGTTTGCATAAGTCAAGAGTAATTTTTATCAAGGCTTGGCACATAATAGCCTAGGGCACGATTTATTTATAGATGGCACTTTGAAGGGTAACAACGCTATCAAAATGTATATCAAATATGCCTATGACATCACAGCTGTCTTTCTAAGGTCTAGGGATGAAAGTTTTAACTTACCCAGTACCGCGGTTAAAAATGGGCCCTGGTCCAGGGGCGCAAGAGTTTTTTTTGTTTTGTTGGGTGCGCTAGTAACAGACACTAATTGGAAAATATCTGAAACCTCCTCACTTCGTCTTCCACTCATGACTAGCTAATGACGAGCCTATTGTACTTGTTGTATTTAATGGCAATAAAGACTTTGACTTTGATGACTCATCACTGCCACTGTTTGCATATTAGGCCTATCATTAACTATACTTTTGTAGGCTATTTGTTATGTCCTTTTTTCATTATACTCAATGTCAGTTGCTTTTGTCAAATGGCGAGAAACTTATTACAGTATCAATTTGTTAGCAAGTAAAGATACTGGCCGTGTTTTTGCTTATGATTTTATTTACGTTTGAAGAATGTTATTTTACGTTGTAATATCACACCCTTTTTCTGTGAAATTAGCAAAAAACCAAGTGGCAGTGAGTTTAGAAAGAGGGCGACATAAAAGATTCGTACGGTAAAAGTGTTACAAAAAGTTCCTAAAATAAGTAGCCTAGTTTTTACGGTCATTAAAATCATTTAGGCCTAAATGATGATGTGTACAGATAGTGATGTAGGTAAATCTGAAAATGAACTTTTTGATGATGTTAAGTTATTGACGAGTTGGCCGAAAAAAAATGTAGAAAAAACCAGCCATTTTACGGTATTGACTTTTTGGAGTTTTAAATGTTTGCAATTATAACTTATATAAATTAAAGCTATGTTTTAATTCACACTTTTTTACAACTAAACCAATTTTACTTTTAAGAACGCACCATTGGAAATATAGGCTAAGTGTGTACGGTATGTAAGTAACAGTTAAACTTTAATTGATGGTTTACGTTTTTAGTTACTAAGCGGGTAATTCAATTAACAATCAAAAGTAAACACAATGAGTCTTCTTATATTTGTTAGGCCTATATTGCAGATGCGCGAGCAACTCATAAAATGTCTATATTCATTTTATAATTAAAATCAATGTCGGCAGGGTGGGGGGGGGGGGCTATGAGCGCAACTATGACTTGGGCCCATAGCGTATCACATAACTGACCGCGGGCCTGAACTTACCCCCGAGTGTAGATATAACTTAACCTAAAAATACAGAGGAGTGTGACGGCTGGGACTGAACCTGCTAAGGGGAAAACTTAAGCATTGAACTCACAGTCAACTGTGTATAAAATATAATTTGCCCGTTGATTTTCAGTGGCGTAACAGAAGGGCCCGCAATGCGGGGTGCCCGGGAGCTGGGGGGGGGGGGGGGGTGGGCAGAGAGACCCACTAATTTGTTTAGGGTACCACTCTGTTTATGATTAATCTGTTTGATCATTGTATCGGTGGTCCTAAAATAGCTCTGGGGGGAGGGGGAGGGTGATTCACTATGTTGAATCGGTGGTCTAAAATTCACTCATAAGAGGGGGGCCCAAAAAATAAGTTTACAGGGAGGCCCGTAAAGATTTGTTACGCCGCTGTTGATTTTGTTGTGCTAAATAATGTTTGGAATCTCGAATGTTTCTTTTTCTAAATGCTGGGCCCAAATACACTACTTTACTTCTTTGCATTTGCCCGATTTCGAGCAACATGTAGGCTAGGCCTACACTAGTTTATTATAAATGAAGGTCCTATAATCTAAGCTTCTTACAAACAGATTTGTAAACTTAAACTTTTCTGCCATCCTTGTTGAAAATAATAACATACCGTACTTTTAAACAAAAAAGCTTTTTATAAAACACCAGACTTGTTAAACTAATATAATAGTAATAGAGGTTGAAGAGTTAAGCATTTTTATAATGTGTATCAGGTCAGTTATCTTCGCACGGTTGGCGGGGCCAGTGTTGAGGACTCAACAAGACGGATCCTTGTAAGACTATTCAAAAATGAGCTTGCGAGAGAATTTAGTTGGGAAGGAAGAGGACGAAAGAAGTGGAGTCTGCAGAACTCTGCATTGGTGCAGTTGATTTGCCGTAAGTTTTTAACATTGGTTTTACTTTTATTTATTCTTTCAATGATAGGCCTATATTTGACATTTATTTATTTTTCTATAAAGTCAACTCAACCAAAGTAAGTAATTGATTTTTTAACCCTGTTTTTACCATCATAAGTTTTATTATTTAACTAATAATTGGTATGTACATATACGTCATACAGTAGCCTACATTTACTTCATACCCCCACTTGAAAATGCCATTCTGGCGAAACATCTTGTTATTCTTTACATACATTTTTAGCAGTATGGCGTAAAGTTACATAACAATTATTAGTCAATAAAAAGGTTCAGGGGCTAGATCAATGGATTTTAATTATATTAATTTATCATCTTATAATTAATTATCATATAGGCTATATGATATTAATTTATGATGTTACACACATTTTTGTCTGTAGAATGTACCGTACCTATCCTTTTTTTTCTGCACTGTACTCTTTAAACCTCTTCAATACTTTGATTTCTTGATTGCAACTTGTTAGTTTAGCTCAAAAAGAAACGATTTTGCTTAACACGTTCAGTGCGGCAGGCATTCCAACAGGCGCTCGCCAGTGGCGGCAAAGCCCCGGCGCGGTGCCGTACCAACAGAAAACGCAATTGGCATTCAAATATTTCAATCTGACGAAAAACAAAAGAGCAGCGGCGATTGTACTACGTTACCCCGAGATTGAACGTAGTTCCCTAAAACACCCAAAGGTAGCAGCACTGCCTGGATCAGTAGTCAGTGGCTTTGTAATATGGCTTGAAGAGAGAAAATCCCCAAAACCGGTACAAAAGCATTGTCAGACGGGATTTTACGGGAAATTTTAGTACCAACCTACAACAAAATAAAGCTTACATTCTAAGCTACGGGCTAGCAACGATTTTAACGTTCCCCGGCAATGGCTGAGCGCATACTGAACTAATGTAGTGGGGGTTGCGCAACTACATCAATTGATGTAGGCCGCTCGTGTCGCGACTACATCAATTGATGTAGTCAGCGCTAAACGTGTTAAAAAAATGTTAAAAATGAAAACGTTAAAAATGAATTAATCTAAGTTTTGCCATCAAGAAAACAAAGGATTGATTACCAAAAGATATGTTGCTCTAAGCGTGAATCTTGTGCGTACCCTAATATTACCTTATACACAGGAATACAGACATTGACACAAGTGTGAATTTTGTTTCAGGTGTAGTTCGTCAACAACACCCGTCCTCATTCGATCTCACAACGTTTGAGAAAAAAACCAGCGAATGGTTACGCCAAGCAGGAACAAGGATTTATGTCTAAAATAAAAATTTAGGCCTACCGCAGATGATCAATTAAATAGTTTTTTCTTGACATTTCTTCATTGTTTCATTTATATGTTCCTTTAAAAAGTGTGTTAATAAACAACAGAAACAATTTTATAAAAACAACTTTTATACTTGAATGTATTAGGGTACTTGTGATTACATCTGAACAAATATTTTTACTCATTTTTTGTATTTTTGTGCATTTATTTTTTGTTTTTTTATTGTGCAAGTATTTTTTGTGCACAATTTAGAATAGGTCTAAAAAGTTACTACAAAATCTATTATTATTTGTTGAGCCTAGCCTTCTTGTTTTCTCACATTAAATAAACAACAGGGAAAATGGAAAACTAAAAAAAACAACATTTTCATGTAAGAATAAGATTCAGTTAAAAAAACTAGAAATTATTCATCAGTTGTGAGAAGTGAGTTAGTATTTTTTTTATACTTTCAGTTGTTATAATCATACTGTATTATTATTAATAATAGGTTATTTTTCTAAACTATTTCAACTTAAACATTCAAGCTAGTTATTACTATTAATTATTATCAGCTGAATAATGCTTGGTAATATAAACACTAATATAATAATTAACATATTATTATTTACTTTTTTATGCAAATAAATGCACTATCCAAAATGCTTGTTAAGTGGTACCTATTCTCAACAAGGTAATTTAATAAGTTTTTCTCAAATAATCTTCAATGTACGATAATTAAAAAAATTTAAAGCTGTCTTGGTCTAATATTTGTTTAGGTAGTTGCCATATTCTTTATCTTCCTTACTTCATTAAAACACATATTCTTTAAAGGTAAAATTGTTTGTTTTTTTTGTGGCTGCTACCATTGTTAAGGAAGTCTACAAAAATTGCATAATTCTCTCATTCTTTGGTTTGATTATGATATGAAAATAAATGCTGATAGCTAGCCTACACCAACAATATAACATTACATTTTGCATACTGTATTGTAATGATGTAGTAACTGTAATAGGTGCTCTTTCCCCTTCTAGACTTTCACTAGGGCCCCTCTGGTTCACCTTAGGAGCTTTGGATGTGATCGGCCTGCTTCAGATGAAACTACTGAACAGCAGTAGGTTGTCCCTAAACTAGATCAATTAGGTATTTACCTGACAAATCACAAAACACATATTTCTAATGAAGACTTAAAATATTGTTTTACCATCATACAACACACCAACCCTCATGACACATAGTTCACCTCCCATAACAAATGCCTTCAAAGAAAACTGTTAGTAAAAATCAATGTATATAATTTTATATATTGATTTTTATGACAATTGTATTTTGAGCCACTTTTTATTAATATGGCATCAAATATGTATCATCTATGTATAAAATATGTATTTTATACATTTAAGGTATGCATCAATTTCTATCAAAATTTACAGATTATATACAGATGTATAATATGTATCATATCTGTAGTTGGATCCTTATACAATATGCAAATAATACATATTTAGGTGGGACATATTTACAGATACAATCTGTATTGTATACATTTCTATACAGATTGTATACAAAAGCTATACCATGCCGGTAGGTAAATTATATGTATTATATACATATTTGTGCTACTTGGGATTGGTCTAATTATCAGGATAGTACTGTGGATAGTCGTAGTACTCACTAGTTCGGACGTTAATCCACACCAGGGAGTAAACATTGCTCTCGTTTGCAGCAAGTGCCACTTTGCCCACCAGTTACACAAATAACTATTTCTATCCATCCAGCTGTTTTAGTTCAAACTAATTATATTGCACTGAAACAAACCCAAGACTGCTCTAAAAATAAATTAGATTATCAAGTATTATAAAATTATATATTTAAATAATCTGTCATTCCCTTACCAAATAAATGAATGTATCGATTATTATATTATTACACATAGTATGTATAAGTTAACCCTACGTATGTCATTTAATTTAATCCAGATGCTGTATTTGTGTCACAAACGGTGAATGTTTACAGCTGTTACGTTAAGCAAATAGTATTATACCAAAAGCTAGTCTAGAGCACTGAGCTAAAATTATAACTAGAGTGATAGCGTCGGCTGCTAGACTTTAAGAAAATTTAAACTTAATTTCTAGAAAACTGAAACCCTAAACTAAAATTATGGCTTTGCCATTCCTTAGTTCTCTAAATTATCTTTCTTTCAACACAAAAACTATGAAAATCCGTTAAGTGATTGATTCAGAATCGTGAAATAAAAAAACACTGTCACCCTTTAATATACATATATTTTAATATTGTATATATATATGATATGATTTTCTGTACAAAGATGAAGGAAACAGCTGATACTTTACTCAATAACACCAAGATGATAATCATTATCATCATGAGATTGGGACCCATCAAGGTGCTTATTTTAAGTATTGTTTTACCTAATTGTTTCAGGCAGTCTTGAGGCGATTACAATGAGTGAACACATTGTTGAACATATTGCTCACGAGCTTAGAATGGACCCCTTGTCTCTTAGGATGAAAAATGTTGATCCACAATATGTAAAATCTGTGGACAAGATGGTTTCACTGGTCAAAGAGAAATCAGACTTTGAAAACAGGAAAATATATGTTGAAGACTTCAATAAGGTGTCAAGAAAAGTTTATTATTCAGTGTGTTGTTTTACTTTTTCCCCATACATATGGAGAAAGTGTTGTTTTCATCAAAATTTTGGAGTTTGAGTTTTGGGTGGATATATTAGTTTTGGGCCCCCCTGAATCCAAAAAAGTAGTTTTCAAAGTAATGTCTGTCTGTCTGTGTGTGTGTGTGTGTCCTTGTGTCTGTTTTTGTGTGGATGTGGATAGAGCTACAGACCACGCTTGTTATCTGATTTTGATGAAATTTGGTATGTGGGTACTATCCTACTATTCATGGTATCCCCGGGTGTTTTTTCATTTTTTTGAAATTTTGATTTTTAACCCTTCCCGGACGGGCGAAATCATGACATAGGAAGGGAAAAATGTAGAGGAAAAAATAAAAATTAATTTTCCTTATTTGTGTTTTTTATACAAGTATACATAAAATAAACACAGTGGAACACTTCATACTGTCAAAATAATTGTTTACTCGTTTTTAACTTAGCGGATATATCCGCTACCCGTCCGCGGATGAGTATAAATGCAGCGGTTATATCCGCCACCCGTCTTTGAAGATATGACCATGACAACGTTAGGCAATAAATAAAGAACAATAAATAAAGACAACGTAGTGTTGAGCGTGACACGTCGAGGGGGGAGCGTAGGAGTGGTGGTAGGTGCGCGGGAGGGGGGAGGGGAGCAGGAGAGGGTTCGGCAGGGGGGAGTGCAGGGGAGAGCACCTGCCAGTCTGTCTGAAGAGATGGCGGATATAACCGCTTCCCATCCGGAACATCAAAAGCCGTAAGCCGATATATCCGTCACCCGTCCGGGAAGGGTTAAGAGTGATTTTTTCATAAAACCCCATAAAATAACAGAAAATCTAATTTTTTCTTAAATGGCCCAAAAGTTTATGGTTCAATTTAGTATGTTATACTCATTTTCACTCTTAACAAAATGGTACATCTCCCATTGTAAAAATTACAGTTCAAAATTATTATAAATTGTATGATTTTCCCATTAAACCATATAATAACGGAAAATCGGATTTTTGACAGCTTGAATGATTTTGATTAAAATTTAGTATGTTACAGTCCTTTGTAGTTGTAGTTCTAAATAAAATAGTAAAATTACCTCAATTGCTGTAAAAATTCCGGTTCAAAAGCTATTGTATAACTTTTGTGATTTTCTCCATGTAACATCATATAGTTAACCCTAACCGCTAGCTAACCCACGATAAAGGTTGTTGACAAGCCAATGGGAGAAAGTACATTGTATGTATGCATTGTATGTTTCAGATTGTTGATACTGTTTATTGTCTTGTTTGTTGTCTAACCCAACCCAAATTAAAAGTAGGCCTACCTTAAGACACTTTTTAACACGTTCGCTGCGGGTGGGTCAGTACTGACCCATGGCGATCCCATCGCTCACGCGGCCGGGTCAGTACTGACCCATACTGCAGTGCATCAATCTATTGCTCAGTGCGAGCCTAGCGTCAGTCGAAGGTGGACCTATACCACGTTAGCGTGTAGTGTGTGACTTGCTTTGTTTGCCGTTGAGTTGGTACCCGCGTCTCGCTCCCGCCGAGGCGGCTGGGTCGGTACTGACCCACGTTACTGTGAACACCCCTAGATGTGCTACTATTGTGTGCTTTATGACGTCATATTCAATTTCAATTAACTTTTAAACTATTTTATTTCAATAATGTTAACATTTCAAAACTTTAATATCTTTCATCTTTGTTAAATATTTAATTTTTTTTACTCCGGTTCTTGATGGGTCAGCACTGACCCATATATATATGACCTCACATTATGAAGTCATAATCAATTCCAATCAATTGATATACTATTTTATGTTGATTATTTTATGATAATGACTACATATATCTTTAGAACATATATTTTTAGTGACATATATAATGTATTCAGTGACATTTCAATTTTTTCTGACTCTGGCTCCTGATGGGTCAGTACTGACCCATTAATATGACGTCACTTTTTGACGTCATATTCACTTCCGATCGTATTATATAATATTGTATTTCAATAAGGACACAAGAAGGAATGTTATACAACAATAAAAGTTTTTAGCAATACGATTTGATTTTATAATTTCCTTTAGCAGTGAACGTGTTAACCAGCTGTTATACTACAAAACAAGCTCACATTTTGGTTGTTATTTCATTGTCTGTTATTTCATTGCCAATTTACCTTATGTTTTGTTGTATCACATCACAATGTAACGAATTGATGTACAATCCTTGTTGGATGATAAGATCACGATGACTTTTTTAAGCCATCTAGAAGTTTTAGTGATCGTGTGTCCTGTCTCAAAGATTTAAGTGATTGCTAATTAATTGTTAATGAAGTGTTTCTTTCTGGTTTACAAAATATCTTTTGTTGACTAAGATCTGCATAAAAAGAATTTTTGCCATTGTTAATTAGAAGGGGCATATTTTAATAACAAGTAATTACATCAACCTAATTGCATACCTTATTGGTTTTTAGAAAAATGTATGGAAGAAGAGAGGAATAAGCTTAGTGCCTATGAAATTCTCCTTAGCCTCTTTAGGGACATTCCATGCTATGGTCAGTATCTACAGAAATGATGGCACAGTCGCTGTTACTCATGCTGGTGTAGAGATGGGGCAAGGAATCAACACCAAGGTACAACGGTACAACTAACTGGAGTCTATAACCTTAAATTATTGACAGAGATTTAGTATTACTAGGGTAACTAAATCGCTAATAATAATAAAAGTGTTAGTAATAAATTTGTGTGTGTTCTTTAAACACTAAAAATGAATTATTGATCTGACACGAGCCTCCCAAACTAAGTAAGGTCCTGAGTAAATAAAGTAGGTTATAAAAGTTCCATGGAACTAGATCTATACCAGTAGTTGGTGTAAGGAATAACCAAATGTATTCCTGGGAGTGGGAATTCAGAACATTGTTGTCAAAATATAATCACTTAAAATGACTTAAAACTTAAGAAATTGGTATCATGTCATTACTTTTAATACATACAGGGTAGCTGAAAAGTTACTTGCAGCACCGCCCCCCCCCCCCCTTAACATTTTAAGCTTTTGAGATATTTGAAATCGGTTTGCGGCAAAACCTTCTAAGATATAAGGACTACAATAATTAATGGTTAATTTTGAAAATCTTGCCCTTAGGAGTAGTGGGGGTAGGGGGCAGCTCAAAATTTTCAAATAGCAAGTATAGTCGAGTCTATGGTATCGTTTTACACGTCTTGACGAAACTAAACAATTGACATAAAGAAAACCAAAATCGGACAAAAACTCGCCTATACTTGCTGCAATTTGAAAATTTAGAGCTATCGCCTATCCCTGCTAAAACTTAACTGAATTTCTCAAAAATATTTGTTAGTGTGCACCTACATTCATCCAAGAACCTGTATTTTAAATTCCAATGGATCTATTCTGTGTATTGCATCTGAAAAATGTATGCCAATTATACCATATACAATAAAAAAATACCATTGATGAGGGTAATTAAAAGACCATTTGATTTTAGCTTTCAGATCAATACAAAATTAAAGTAATAAACATTTTGACAACAATTTTAAGTCATGTTTTATTGATAGTTGATTGATATCATGAAATATAATCTGGTACTCATCCCTTCTCATTGTCTCTCAGCTGATCCAGTGAATAGATTTGGTCGTTCAGTTTATAAAACCAAATAAATTATCAAACATTCAAATTAAAAACATAACTGTAAACAATCCTACATTGACAGTTCTCATTGAATATCACATCTTTTTGTTGCTGCTTGGTTCAGATTAGCTGTTTTCATACTGAAAAAAATAGTGCTGCTCCCCGTTAGTAAACCTGTTAACTTTTTAATGCTATTGCATATCATAGACACAACTTAAATAGTTGAAAGAGCTGACTACATTCTTTAATTCCTTTTAAGAATACTAAAGGTTAACATGGGGGAATAAAGAGCCACTGAAGCGGAGCCTGAAAGGGTTTTTGAGATAAGAATATGCCTATATGTTAATCGGGAATGTGAGCTATGGCCATGCCAAATTTCAACCCAATCCGTCCAGTAGTTAATGTGTGATTGAACTTCAAACAAACAAACACACAAACTTTCACATTTATAATATTAGTAGGATAGTAGGCCTAGCATGTAAGAAGTGTTGTCAAGGTGAATACTTATCCGTGGGTTGATCCATTATTATTTTTTAAATATGTGTAATGATTGAGTTTTATTGATAGGCAGCTCAGGCATGTGCAGCGGCGCTCAAGATTCCATTAGATAAGGTCAGGGTTAAAGCAACAGACAACTTAACCTCTCCAAACGACACACCTACTGGGGGCAGCTTTACCAGTGAGGCAATTGTGTATGTAAGTAGATATAGTTTATGATTTTTCAAAAGTAAAATTTATGTTGGCTTAGTGATAAGCTTATATGATTGCAGATTTACCTCCATATTGCCATCTGAAATACAAGTATCACCTATAATATGGACATTATTTTCCTTCAATGTTCTAGGGCCGAAGAAGGTAATAGCATATTTTTAAGTATTGGCACTATTTTAGAAATAGTGTATTATTATCATTATCATTTGAGATGGGGACGCCAAACGGCTATGTGCATATTTTAACTCAAATTTGAGTGAAGGATGAGTGTAGAATAGAATGAGATGCCATGTGTAGCTTTTTTTACTGACTAATAAGGCTAGCTGATTTAGTCAGCCCCAGTCAGCCTAGCTGATAAGAGCTCTCGTAGTCGCGTATGCTAAGCATCAGACACTCAGTCAGCAATTAACGTGTTGAACTGCCACGTGGCCATTGGCTTTTCCTGTATGATCTGTGTTTTTAATTGAGTAATTCAATTACAATGGGGATCTGTGGTGTTTTAAAGCAATCAAATTTAATCTGGGACATCCGATCCCTTCCTTAAATGCGTTGGAGTGTGGGGAAAAGTCTAGCAATGTATTAAGTGTAGTTGTTTTTACTTTGAAGGAGAGGGGGGGGGGGCAAAGAGACGACCGCCCCCCCCCTCGGGCATATATATGCATATATTTTTTACTGCATGTAATACAGTAGTGCATATAAATTGCGTAAAATAATTTTTCACACTAACTTTGGTCAAAGAAATGGTATAAAACTGCCTTTTTGGAGACTTGGTTTACATTAATTTTTTGGTACCCCCGAACCCCCCAGACCCCTGGTTTGAGCCCCCGCTTTGTGACTGTTTTAGATCCGCCACTAGTGAGTGGCTGGAGGGAACGCGCACATGACCGCTTGCGTCAACCTCTCAATTAAACATTTGACGGGTACATAGTGGTAGTACCACCGTTGTGATACATCCAATCTCGGACAAACAAACGTTAAAAGTTTACATTGTTTTGGCTTACATTTCAATCAAGAAAAGACTGGCCGAGACAGTTAAGTTTTTACTCTTTGTTGCCATAAATGAAAGGTTCGTTTACCTCATTTGTGCAATTCACCATACCTTCAGGATCTTATTGGAAACCCCCAATCTGAAAAAAGGACTGTGAGACTTATATCCAGAAATTATTTGGATAAAGTTCGTCAATTCAATTCTGCCTTTACCATGGTCAGCTACGAAGCTCAAGATTCCACAGGGGATCGACAATTTCAAGATTCATGACACGTTTTACCACTGAGTAGGTCCTCTAATTCCTCAAGAAGGTGATGATCCTGAATATGCATAGATATATAAGTAAGTACAACAATGTCACTAGAATTAAGCACAATTCAAACAAAAAATGCAATGAAAAAAATATGCGGGAAATAGGGTCACAATGCCCATTTGCAAATCTTTGAAGACAGTGGCAGACATTCTGTAGGGACGAGAGCTCCGAGAGTCAAGTGAGATTCTTAAGTACATAATAAGAGACAGAAGAAGTGTCTTCCCCTCGCTATAATGGTGCTATCTGTGTAAATGTCACAGCAATTTTTAAAGCTGAAAACAACTCACCACCTGGCCAAATAAATCATATAGTTTTTTTTCAATACTAATAATGTTAAACGCGTATTCATTCTAGATCTGTCGTTAGATCCATTTGCTTACCCTCTTATGTACCCAACCAGAGACTTGGGTTGGGGCCCCTAATTTAAACACGCCTAAAACAGAACATATCGTAGAAATAATTTAACAATGCTAGAATAAGAGTAGCAATGGTTGGCGTCAAGAGAGGAATTGAGCTACATTAGGTCAAAAGCTCACTTTACAGTGTTTGGTTGACATCTACGTGCTCATAGAGTGCACCCGCCTACTATATAAGAGTACCAAAGCAGTATAAGAGTGAATGTGAATTTAAATATTGTAGATTACTTTAATATCTTTTACATAATAATGTTTCTTATATTCTATAATCAGTTATATAAATTATTTTAGAGTGACTCTTTGATTAAGATCTCGCTGTTTATGTTTTTTGTTTATTCATCTTTTAATACAAGTAACAGGGTTATCTAGTTGTTTTTATCACATCAACATTCAGACTGGAGTCGGAAGACTATGATGCTTTTTTATTGTTAGATGGTGTAGTACATATTTTTTACTAGTAGGCCTACTTAACAGAAACACCGGTTCATTTCTTCAAAGTGCTAGTTATTTAAGCTATTTTAATCACTTAACAACAGCTTTTATCAATAAGATAGACAAAGAAATAAGGAAATAGTACGGCATTCTTATACCTAAAACTCACTTCTTGCGTCTATATTTACACGAATCATTGTCTTATTCTTACATTTTTTTACAAATCTAAGTTCATATTCGTCGCACAAAAACGAGAATTGTTTTAAGATGTATAATTTAACCGAAGAATAGCAGGAAGCCAATGTTGCTTAAGCGGCGGATCACTTAGAATCTTAGAACACTGTATGTATTATTCATTTTTAATTGAGCTTTTGTAATTATTCTTGCATCCAGGCACACCACATCTATCTGGCATGCTGTAGTAACAAGTTCAATGTCATTAATAATGATAAAGGGTAATGAAACACGATTATGTACATAGAGTACGCGACTCCTCCATTCACTGTAATGGTAAGACGACCGCGCACCAAGACACGGATGCAACGTTGCCACTTTTCGCTCGCCGCGGCCTTGTATTACAGGTGGCCTGTGGTTCAACTCACCACATATGGAGTAAAGGAAGCCTGGATTTCATATGATAAGGAAAGTGTTGGCAAAACCATAGACTAACCAACACAAGTAGACTTCTAATCCCATTGTAATTTTGAAGCTCATTTTTTAGCTCATGTCATAGCACACAAATTATATTTCCAAACACAATATTGTTTATTACTAAGTTAATTTTTAATAGAAATAAACTAATTTATTGATTGTTTCAGCCAGAAGCACTTATTAAAATCCTGTTAAAGACAACTCGGTCCAGTTTCGAACCATTGAAAAGCTTTAGATGATAATCACTTTTCACAGGATCAAACTGGCAAATTTTTGATTTCTAGACAAGCACTCAGCTACCTAGCAATTCTTATAATGCAAAATGAGAATTGTTGCAGGCTGTAGAGTGCAGAGCACTAAAGCCACTCAGCTTACCAGCTATTCACATGATTCAATATTAACTGTTGCAGGCTGTAAAGCGCGGAGCACTATAACCACTCAGCTACCTAGCAATTTGTATGATACAATATGAGAACTTGTTGCAGGCTGTAGAGCGCTGCTGCGAAGAGCTGAATGACAGATTGAATCCTCTGCGACTAAAATTGGAGCCTCCAACTTGGGAGCTATTGATTCAAGCGGCCTATTTAGCTCAAATCAACTTGAATGCTAGTTATCAGTGAGTTACTCTATTATCACAGTATTGTAAGTTTACTTGTAAATAAGTGCTGTGTTATAGGTTAGATACTTGATGTACAGCACCTTGTGTCATATCCGCACTAGTGAGTACTATCCGCAGTATTATCCTGATAATTTGATGAATTTGTCAATTATAAGGCAAAAATTTGGTTCGGATTCCACTACTGTTGGTCCCTTAGCTGTCATTGGCTATATGGGCTATTAATTAACAGTCCTGTCTAAGGAACATGTCAGACTTAGTCAGTAACAAGACTAAAAGGTTGCCCCACTCATCCTACACTCATCTCCATTCATACTTGGCTTAAAATTCCTGCCTTCGTATGCTCGCCATTTAAGAAAAAAGTATTTAAGTACTGGTATCTGATCACACTGTATATGATCATTAACAGCTTTAAGATGGTTCGGGCCTTTTCATTCCTTATACTCCAAAGGCTAGTGGATTGGATATAAGAGTAATACTGTTAACATGTTTAGCCTCTGGATCACATATTTTATACTAATAAAAGGTTAAATACCTGTAGTACTGTCTGTGGTCCTAGTTTAGGTCAGCGACCCAGGTTTCGAACCTAAAGGTTTATTTTCAAGCTGTCAACCAGTTAAAACATAGTTCAATCAAATCCTCTTCATAACTGGGAAGATTCGTTAAACACACGAAACACGAAAACATTAAACATTAAACAAAATTAGCCAATTATAATACTGATACGGTAGCGGTAGCATGCTTGGTGTACCCGGAAAAAGATGAGAATTTGTGCAGATTACAAGACTACATTGAATAAAGTTATCCGTGATGAGAAATATCCAATACAAAGAAATTGGGGACATCTTTGCAGAGATGAATATAGGTTGATGGTTAATGGTTTTTCTGTACACTCGATGTTAGTATAATGCTTACTTACACATGCCAATGCACTCTGAAAGTGCTCTACTACAAACAATAAGCTCTTAGAAAGGTTTGTTTAAAGTAAACAGGTTCATGTTTGGAGTGAAAGTAGCACCAGCACGGTGGCAAAGATTCATGGATCAGGTACACTGCAACTGACTGATCCTGATGGAGTTAAGTGTTTTTTCGATGATATAATCATTCAAGGTACAGATTACAAGAGACTATAGAGATTAAAAACTGTCCTAGAAAAACTTAGAGTGCATAACTTGATATTAAATTTTGACAAATTTAGATTCTTTCAACAAAGAATAACATACTTGAGACATACGATTGATGAAAACGGGCTGAAGAAAAACTCAGAAAAAGTCAAAATAAATATCGAAGCAGAAAAACCTAGAAATGTGAATCAACTATCTTTTATTGGCATGGCCAATTACTACAACAAATTTATATCAAGACTAGCCGAAAAACTATATCCATTGAAAAAGTTGCTACAGAAAGGGCCTTATTTAATGGATATAGTTTTTCGGCTTGTGTTGCCTGATAAATAGTTTAGCATTGAATGGATGCAGAAAACACTTTAAAAAAATAGCATAAATCTCTTCAATGAATCCTCTCCATTCCTCACCAATAACATGACTGAATTTTACAGAGTAGCAATTTCACCTGCCGACAAGATGTTTAATTACGATATATTTGGTGCGACTGTATTAGAAGTTGAAGTAGATACCCTGACAGGGGAACACAAGGTAAATTAAATTATTATATTCTGCTTTATATGTGTTCTTTTAGGGTCTAAAGCATATTAGTTTATTTTGTTCACAACAGCCATTCTGGCAAAAGGGCACATAGGTGAAAAATCAGTTTTGTCAAAAACTTTTCAGTTGGTCAAATAAGTTCAAAGCTTGTTTGTATTTTATGTTAAATATGTTTTGACCCCTCATTAACCCTGTTAGAATGACTAATATTATAAAATATTGTAAATTCAAATGAGGAAATAAAAACAAGAATAGATATTTCAGTTTGTGGGGTGATAACTCTGACGATTGGTGGGGTGATACTCTGACGTTTGGTGAAGTTCCTATGGTAACAACTTGATGGTTCATTTTAAATTGTGATTGAAAAAAGTGCTTATAAGTTGATGTGACCTTGTCACAGAAATTGTAAGGTCAAAGGTAGGAGGTAGTGTAACCACAGACTATTGACCAATTAAACACCGCTATCTTTAGCAGCGCTCATTAGTTCAAAACCTGCAACTCCGTTCTGTCCGTAGTCACAGTCAGTGGCGTAACAGTATTTCCCCGGGCCCCCCCGCAAATATGTCTGTGGGCCCCCTACTACCCCCTCCCATTCCCCACCACAGCACTATATACCACAACCATCACCCCATCACCACACCACAACTATCACATGACGTAGGTGACGGCAGGCATACGGCCTACACGATCAGACTGGCAGAGGATGGTCTCTAGCAATATCAAGTATTTACCTATTCTTCAACCACACGACCAGAGTCGTCCTTGAAACATATTTTATATTTTGTCACTGTCACAGTGATAATAAACTTGGGAGTTATGTCCGTGATTAATATATATGGGCTACTCCATTACTCCACCATTCACATTCATTACTAAACTCAACCAAGCTTCCAACTATAATTTGAGTCGGGACCACGAAAGTTTGCAGTTGAGGGAGTAGCATATTTACCATTTGACTTCAAATGAGCCAATGAGGGCAGTGCGGTGTTGCCAAATCGAATAATACCAGCTGTTTTAAAAATATTGTTTAGTATTTTAATTAGTGTCGTCAAAGGGCGATATGGCAACGTCGCACTAGTCTTGTGATTGTCTGCCGCCAACTGCAAACTTTCGTGGTCCCAACTGTAAATGTTAGTGCTTCACTAAATTAGCCCAATTTAATGACATGACACCTGATTGAGAAACTCTCGCGACATGCACTACTGACGAGTCACTCGCAATCCGCATGGAATGGATCTCCAAAATCAGGTGATCTACGGTCAGCTGAGTACACGTGAGCGGTTAGTGGGGGAGGGGGGAGGGCCGAGGGGCTGGCTCCGAGTGTGTGTCGCCACGGCGCGGCGGCAGGCCGGCAGGCAGGCACACAGCTCCTAGCGCTAGCATGAAGCTACACAACCACACTGACAATACACATCGTCGGGTGATCGTAGTGAGCGTTGGCGTTTCGTTAACAATATTGTTAATTAAAAGATAAAACTTTAGTAGATTTGGCAGAGTAAAAGTATCTACCAACACATCGTTTTTTTATTTATAATTTGTCAGGAGAGAAAAACATTCGTGAACAAAGGATCGGTTTTACGGACGGTTTTATGAGAAAAGGGTATCTTAACCTCGCGGGCCCCTAAACCTCGCGGGCCCCCCCGCACCGCGGGGTCTGCGGGGGCGGCTGTTACGCCACTGGTCACAGTCTAGGTGCGATATAGTTTGTGGAACAGGCTGGCGCACGCAGCCTTGCATGATATGCGGGAAAAACCGAGAATTTACATAACAAGTAGCTTTTGGTTTTTTGTTTACTGTTGAGAAATAATTTTAAGCACCCAAAAAGCATATCGGGTATTAGTTTACAATGTCCTTATTAAGGTAATGATGCCATTGCAATCCCATTTAAAGTTATCATGACATCAATAATTTAATGATAATTATTAAGTTTAATTTTTGATGTTAGCCTCCGGATTACGTTGAATATATAAATTGGTTTAAATACCTGCTTTTAGTACCGTAATCCAATAGTCGCAATTAATGTCACACAACTAGTTTTGACTTCATGAAGAAGTCATCAACAGGCGTCCAGTGGATGTAAAAATAATCCCTTCATCAGAAAGTCGTCGATACACACATGGTACTTTCACACACAAACACGCACACGAACACGGACATAATTTCATTAAAAGGTATATTTACAACGAGAATAAGACGAATGAATGGTAACTTCAGGATGATGCGTCACGACCGGGTGAATGTGGCGTCTAGACAGTGGCAGTCACGTTTTATGGATATTTTCTTTAATTGGACAGTTGACACAACCACACACATTGTTGTTTTCAAGTTAGTTTTTAGTGGTCTATTGTCTGTGGCATAACTTAATATCCAAACATTATTTATAATATCTCTGATGTTCCTGAGTTGTCTAACTTGTGATTATCATAGTTTTATGGTGACACAGAAGAATCACATTACTTAAACGTTATTGATAGACAACGTTTACTGTCTCTAATATGATTCTGGACTAGAGGATAAAAACCAAATTCCTTTTAATAGAAAAAAATCATTGCATCAATTAAAAGACAGTATCAAAATCCTGAAAGCAAAAAGAACGACTAATAGTTTTATAATATTTAGATTTATTATTGGACTATCTATTATACAACAGAAATGCCAAAAGTAAAACTCTCTCTTTACAGATAATTAGAGTTGACATTATAGAAGAATCGGGTAAGAGTTACAATCCATACGTAGATATTGGTCAGATGGAGGGGTCATTTGTGATGGGGCTGGGCTACTGGACCTCAGAGGAGATCATCTACGACCCTCACACTGGTCGCAACCTCACTAACAGGACACTGGTAAGTACCTTGTAGACAATGGTCAGATAGAGGGGTCATTTGTGATTGGGCTGGGCCACTGGACCTCGGAGGAGATCATCTACGACCCTCACACTGGTCGCAACCTCACTAACAGGACACTGGTAAGTACCTTGTAGACAATGGTCAGATAGAGGGGTCATTTGTGATTGGGCTGGGCTACTGGACCTCGGAAGAGATCATCTACAACCCTCACACTGGTCGCAACCTCACTAACAGGACACTGGTAAGTACCTTGTAGACAATAGTCAGATAGAGGGGTCATTTGTGATTGGGCTGGGCCACTGGACCTCAGAGGAGATCATCTACGACCCTCACACTGGTCGCAACATCACTAACAGAACACTGGTAAGTACCTTGTAGACAATGGTCAGATAGAGGGGTCATTTGTGATTGGGCTGGGCCACTGGACCTCAGAGGAGATCATCTACGACCCTCACACTGGTCGCAACCT